ATGCTGTTTATGCATGATACTTGCTAAATAACTACCACGCATAATGAATAAATGGTCCGTCAAACTAAATATTGATTTTAAAAGCCACATTAATAATAAAGTTGACTAGGACTCAATATACATAATGTTTGGTTAGTGCCAACGGTCGCTCCCGTCAGTACTCCATACACTTACTTCCCCGTGCCCTGATTCGTCCACTGAGGTGCACAGTGCAGATCATAGAGTGTAACGTGAGGCGAGCATTGATGCACGCTTACATTTGTAGTAGTTGGTGAGGTTCGCTAATATAAAACAAATCTCCACATGTGTAAATTTGGCAAAACAGATATTTATATAAGATATGCACCAACGCTAATTATGTTTAAAAAATCTCACTAAGGAATGTAGATTTCCCAGGACGAGGCGTCTCACCTGTCCCTTCCAGGAACTATGTCCCTGCAATAAGTAATCTCGGGTGATCTAATGGAGTGTCTCACTAGCTATATGACCCAAGCCTAGCATCTCCAGGAGATGACCTCAAGTGGTCATGTGATCAAACTCCCATGATCACTGAATGTGAAACAAATATTCATATTGAAATTGCCTGTATTTAGGCATGGTGACATATCTTATTGAAAAAACAATGCTTGATTAAATTTTACGATCGATTGTTAAGAATTATATATGATATTTCACAGTTGGTTCTACAAATCATCTTTTGACGTAGATTTACAAATTAATTTGCAAAATTAGAGAATGTCTTCGAACATTGCAAATTAGCAAAAACCAGCGATAAAGTCTCAGAAGGCTCTCCTCTTATTCTCATATATATATATATATATATATATATATATATATATATATATATATATATATATATATATATATATATATATATATATATATATATATATATATATATATAGTCTATGTCCTATTACAAAATGTTAGCCACAAAACCACTTGTAGTTAGCAACGAACACCCTTATTGGTTGGTAGAGGCTTCTCACTACACACACACTAGCCTAGGTTGTTGACACTCAACCCATCCTTCTGTTTAGATAGTACTTTTTACAACTGTGCACCATAGTACAAACATTGACGTAAAAGGCAATTAAATAATAGAATTAAGAACTTTCCACTTTATAGTCCGAAAAAAGGTAAAATACAAACTTAAATATTCATAGGGCTAATATAGCACATATATATGTACCATGTTAGGCCTCAGCGTGTATTAGACCTAGGAAGGTTAGGCTAGGTTGTCTTTGCAACATAAATGCAACACCTTTTTCAGTTTGTTCAAATTCAATAGTAACAATTTCTAGTTTCTAATTTTCCATTACATCATGCATGTACTATGGTCGTCGTCATTACTGTAAGTACAAACTAAACAGGAGAATGGGCTGCGACACTGTTCTTACTCTTCACGAGTACAAGGGGAGGGGGCATGGGTAGTGGCATATAATGACAATAGCCTTTGATAAGTTTTCTATGTATTTTACCAAAAATTATAAAGTATAATTACATATATATCTTGGAAGTGCTATCTCATCTCTGGTAGGATACGACATTCGTCTCCCGGGGTTCAGGCCAGGCAGTGAGTGGGTCGCATGGGTGTGTAAGCAGGTATTTGATGAACGTACGTAGTGACCACATTGGTGATGCCCCTTAAAGGTTTATATTAAATACAAAATTTTAATATGGAATCTTGCGGAAGAGTCAGCAATGTAGCCATAATGAAAGCTACCAGATTAGGGAATACGCCAAGTATTTTTTGGTATGGAAGGCCCTTCTGCCATATACAGTAGCCAACCCACAAATGGACCTGAGCCATGAGAAACGGCTTATGGGCAAAGTGTAGCCGCATCGTGACCTCTCAAACTTGTCCAAAGAACACACATTCATATACACTGTGAGATCCTAACGGCTACGAGGTACAAATAGCTGAAACGGTGACTAAAAATGACAACAATTTAAGTTTAGGTGGCCAAATTAGTAATGAAGGCGATGTGGACAGTGACTGGCACCCATTACCACACACGGCTCAAAGGCCCCTCTGTAGCTAAAGTCACATTCTCTACAAATTCAAATCAACTTGTTGTAAACGTTTCTATAATACATAAATCTCTGTGTCTATGATACACATACCCTCTAGAGTCCCAGTTAGTGGCAGGACTCCCCCTCTAGTAGCCTCAATCGCTACTAATTAACATGAGTAAACTGGTAGACATAAGTGGGGCACAAGAACAAACCGGCTGCCACAGGAACGCGGGCCGGTACACACCCGTACCCAACCTACAAGGATTATCTTATTAACTAGGATACAAAAACAGCATCGTAAGTTAACTTTGTGCATAGGCTACCAGTCTCAATTTTTACAATCATATTTAGAAACTATAGGAGGGTCCTCGTCCTATGGCTAGAATATACACCAGATGGCAGGGATGAGTTGGGAACTTAGTCGTAATGTCACTTGCAGACAACAATATCCTGGAACTGGTCAATGATGATACGATTATCTGATGCAGACATTAACCGCGTCTCTGCCTAAAAGACTCAGTAGATATTTACTCTAGTTTACATTTGCAAGTAAACATGTATGGCCTGACAGGACACTACATTTGCAACATTTTCTCAAATTTTCTATCATCTTATGATACAGAAGTTAAAATATGATTTACCTGAACAATCATGTTGCAGCCGTAGCTTTACTGTCATTTAATGCAGCTTTACTTTCTTTTATGAAGCTGTCGATGTTACAATGCTGTGTTGATGTATTAAGATATGGGATAAAGTGTTGGTAGGCAAGAAGCGTCCGGGAGACAGCTACCTCCCCAGTAGTACCATACACACACAAATGTAAAGCATGGTGGCCCAGTGACCAGAGGCAGGTCAAAGATCTGGAAGTAAACGAGACAAACGCGTTTTGTGTTCAGTTTTGCATTGCATGAGACTAGTAATTGGTAAAGTTTCGTATTGAAGAACTGTTGATGCGAGATTTTACATTCACCCTCGAAAAGCATGAGGTAGGCTACCCCTGAAGCTTTGATGACAAGGCCGAATATTGGTTGAACCAGCTAATAAGAGTATCGAGCATTTTACATGCTGTTCGTTGGTCACTGAAAAATCTCTTGAAGGGAACACTATTATTACAAGAGTATGCGTCAACCCTGAGACATGGTATTGGCAGACATAACACCATCCTCACATGACAGCGGATTACCCTCACCAACACTAATTATAATGCAGTAACGAAAACATGTCTTTACACATCTCACACATCGTACTGAAAACAGACCTAATGAAATTCTGACTCCATTTGTAGGCATACAAATATTTCCCAGGTCTTCCAAACGGTGGCCGCCAAACTGCAAATTTAGGGAGCGAGTGAGTCAAGAAATGGGTGGCATCATGTCAGTGATTACCATCTTAGGGAAGATAACGCAACATCACACTGGGACCTCTTACACCGTCATCTTAGATATTACTGCTAATATTTTGAATTATTTATAAGAAATACATATATATGTAAACAATTGTAAATATACTAAATATATTGACAAAAACTTGCTGAAGTCATATTCTCGTAAAATACATCCAAAATTATGCCTCAAATTCTAACCATTAAAATACTGTTTAGAATATTACAATTCTATTTGATTAACGATTAATTTATTTGTAGGCCTATTGTAATTCGTACTTCAATTATGTGAAAATTCGCCCACGGGACTGGATTGACTTCTTTCTATATATTATGTATTTTGAAGAAACTATCTTCTATATTTTACAGTTTCAAATAATCCTACATTAGCGAGGGATTATACCAAGATAACAATTTTCATTGGACCAGCCAATGATAAATATATGAAGTTCTATAACCGAAATAATGCAGTGAAAATATGTCGTGTATGATATTCTCAGGACGACCAACTACGCGTCAGGTCTGAGTTATGATTTAATGAATAAATATGGAGTAATACAATACAATGGAACCGGCGCCCCCTAACTCCTCAAGTGCGCACACTACCAACAACCTGCCCGTCCTCATAAACAAAGACTAAAGTCCATTCCATGCCAACCCGTCCTAGACTCAAGTCCATTACATCCAGCAGTCGACCCCACAGACCAGCCCGTCGTCCAAACAAAGACCCAAAAGTGATTCCATGCACCCGCCAAATCCCCTGTTTATGAATGAAAAGCGGTTTAGAGACACGACTCACAACTGGTGACGTTCGAACACTTCCGGAACAAGCGTTTTACTGACGAATTTTGTTCGAGCCACAACGCTAAAAATGCTTCACCCACGTACTACAGGTACAAATAATCACCAACAGAACCTAAACACATAACGTAACTTAACTTATGTCAATATATGCACAATATGCTAATATACTTTAATATTAATTTATATTAGAGAAAATTCCTGTTTTGAATGAAGAGCATGTAAAAATTTATGAATGCGTCTGTGGGGTCGACCGCTGGATGTAATGGACTTGAGTCAAGGACGGGTTGGTGTACGGCTTCAATCATAGATTCATCACGCTGCTGTGATTACATTGTGTAATGGTTTGATCAATTGGTCACGTAGTCATCGAAAAAGGTAATTCTTTAGTAAAGTTATACAGACAGACAAATACTCTGTAACATCATTTGCGTGTTTAGAAACACTTTTTTTTATATAACCTGGAGAAATTTTTATTCTTATTTTTTATTTTATTTTTGTTCACGAAACATGTTTGAAGCGAGGCAAAGTTAATGAATGGACATTGCAGAAAATACAAAGCTAATCTGTTGGCTTTTTCTCAATAATTAGACGACTACTACAGTTAGGCCTACAGGCAATTATTATTGTAAAAATAGCAAACAGGACTACAAAGAATGCTAGATAAAACAATATATTAAAGCGACTGAATATATTGAAGATCCCAGTGTGATAACATACTTTTCAAGGTTGTTGGATTTTGAAATAATCCAGGAGTGGTACTAGGCATGTATCCCCTTCACTCTAGTAAATGACGCAGCGAGTCTGACACTCAGGAACACTGCAGCTGCTTGAGTGATCCCTCGAGCAGCGAGTCTGACACTCAGGAACACTGCAGCTGCCTGAGTGATCCCTCGAGCAGCGAGTCTGACACTCAGGAACACTCCAGCTACCTGAGTGATCCCTCGAGCAGCGAGTCTGACACTCAGGAACACTGCAGCTGCCTGAGTGATCCCTCGAGCAGCGAGTCTGGCACTCAGGAACACTGCAGCTACCTGAGTGATCCCTCGAGCAGCGAGTCTGACACTCAGGAACACTCCAGCTACCTGAGTGATCCCTCGAGCAGCGAGTCTGACACTCAGGAACACTGCAGCTGCCTGAGTAATCCCTCGAGCAGCGAGTCTGACACTCAGGAACACTGCAGCTGCCTGAGTGATCCCTCGAGCAGCGAGTCTGGCACTCAGGAACACTCCAGCTACCTGAGTGATCCCTCGAGCAGCGAGTCTGACACTCAGGAACACTGCAGCTACCTGAGTGATCCCTCGAGCAGCGAGTCTGACACTCAGGAACACTGCAGCTGCCTGAGTGATCCCTCGAGCAGTGAGTCTGACACTCAGGAACACTGCAGCTGCCTGAGTGATCCCTCGAGCAGCGAGTCTGACACTCAGGAACACTCCAGCTACCTGAGTGATCCCTCGAGCAGCGAGTCTGACACTCAGGAACACTGCAGCTGCCTGAGTGATCCCTCGAGCAGCGAGTCTGGCACTCAGGAACACTCCAGCTACCTGAGTGATCCCTCGAGCAGCGAGTCTGACACTCAGGAACACTGCAGCTGCCTGAGTGATCCCTCGAGCACAGTCACTTGGAGTCCACAGTGATACGTGTCAAGGCTTTAGACGACTGTCATGATTGGTCCACAATGGTATTATTACACAAAATATTACTTAATGCAGGAACAATGACGACAGACTTTCACACCACCGCCTAGAGGAAGCCCGTATCTCAGGGTTCAATCCTAGCCAATTGGATGGTCATATATATTGAGACCACAGCAACCACAAAAGGAACTCAAGGCTGATGGATTTTCTGTTTGCACTTTAAACAAAGATGAATATATTAAATCTGCTTTAGTGGTTAAAAGCTTGACCGAATATGACGGACCCTTGAGTTTCTCTTGCAGTTCATAAGCCATGGAAAATTGTTTGTGTTGATATGATGAACTAATAAAATCTTGTGCAATGCTTAACTTGAAAGTGCATTCGTTGTATAATTTCTTAAACAAATCACATTAATCTCATTTTCAAACTCTCACTTCATTTATCTAAAAATGAATTTACAATTTATTAATAAAAAAGGGTATAACCCTTTGTTAACAAGGCAAACAACAATATTTTTAATGCCCTTTTATACCTGTCTAGTCCCTACTTAACCTACTCAGGAAAACGTTTGCTCATTTCACAATTCACCAACTAACAAACAAATTCAAGTTAGTGGTAACGGATGAGTTAAAGGAGCCAATCATTCAACTGTTTTTAGCTAGGTGCTTATAGGTCCCACCACCATGTCCACTTGGGTTTGAGTGCTACTTGGTGACTCACAATGAACAGATTACCTCAACACAATCATATATTGATAAAGCTTTCAATAACAATTTAATAGACTCTGTGTGTCATATAACAACTAGATGACTCTGTCAATCATGCAAAGATGAAATGTCCGCTCACTCTCAATTACATAAATTTAAATTTAGAATAAACTTGATATGGGGGATTATATATATATATATATATATATATATATATATATATATATATATATATATATATATATATATATATATATATATATATATATATATATATATATATATATATATATATATATATATATATATATATATATATATATATATATATATATATATATATATATATATATATATATATATATATATATATATATATATATATATATATATATATGGGAAATCATTGTACAGATTTTGAAGGTAAAAAATCGACAATTTCAGTTAAGGGTTATAAGCATTCGTTATCTCTCTAAATCAATTCAATACAGGTAAATGTTTCAAATACTTAATCAAATATTGCTCTCAAATTACGCACTACAACTAGTTACAGCAATTGATAAAGAGGCCTTCAAATATTACAATAAAAAAGCAAGTGATGGTAAAAAAAATGGGGCCATATAGATCCATTGTTTTTTAGTAATCACACAATTTTAACATTAATGAAATGCGTCAAGTGCAACAATGAGCAACAGTATCTGCTGCTCTCTATCACTGAATGTCTCCATGAGTACAACACTCTGGAATTAACCCTAATTTTCCAAACTACACTTAACATGGTTCCTATCTAGTGTGTTATCAACGTTTACTTCCATTCATTTTAATCTAAAGTGACTATTTAAACACTTTAGCTGTGTAATTATGACAACCCCGACTCTTGATTCACGCAAGGTTCATTTAAACATATCAATAGCTTATCACAAGTTCTGATATTTTAACAAATTAAAAACCAGTGCACCATAAAAGTTTGGTTCTAATACAGTATATGGTAATAAAGAATGTCATTCATAAATGCTACTTGCAGAAGTACTTATTTCATATATGTCAACCACCAGCTGGAAAATGAAGTCTCCAAGCCATCTGCAAACTCAACTGTTTTGATAGCCATTCCTATTCGCCATTGTTATAGGCTGGCTAGTGAAGGGTTGTACTTTATGTGTGCGTTGAAGTGGTACAATGGTAACTCAACTATGAGAACTTGATGTATTAAAAAGATGGAAACTGTAATTATATCACAATAGTAGGAAGGATTAATCACTCTCAACCTAGTTAAAAAAAAACACATGCAAAAATTTCAATATACATAGAAAAATATAAAATAATTATATTATTGGAGCTTCCTTAGCTTATTTAAATTGGGTGAGAAGACATTATGGGAAGTGATATTTATATATTTGGGGGAACAATTGCGTGACTCCCCACCGGTGTTGACAAAACGTTGGAGGGACATGTCATCCAGACTGATGTCGGTGATGTCAACACATACCTCACCTCCCTTTCCACAGCTGAGCGCACGAAACTATAATTGCAATATACAAAGCATTTCAAAGCACTTTTAGAAAGCGAACAAAAATATATTCATTTTGTCTTCAATCTCAACTACACTTCGTAACTTCAAGGCTGGAAGAGCCACCAATGGGGATATATGGTTGCTGCTCCAAGGACCTATCATAACGTGGCATTCTTTTTAACTTGTTTATATATATATATATATATATATATATATATATATATATATATATATATATATATATATATATATATATATATATATATATATATATATATATATATATATATATATATATATATATATATATATATATGGATTGTTGCTTGAGACAATATTCTACACTTCAGAATATGAGTTGCATTTGACCCAAAATTCATCTCATAAATATTTTGAAAACATAAACTGATGCCTAGTTACTTGCTTCCCTCGAACCCAGCCCAACACTTATAAACTTGACGTGCCTACCTGACCTGGCTATGAGCAGTTTGGTAATTTTGTGACACGTAAATTGTTACTAGAGTGGTTAGTTCAACAGATGTACTCACAAAAAGGTGCATTCAGTTAGAAAACATTTATGAGTGTGGGGGGGGGGGGGAGGGAGAGAGAATTATAAATAATAGAACTTTTGGAGAGAAACTCTCCAAGAATTCTGTTATTATAATTTTAATTAGTATTTAATACGTTACATTTATTAATGCTCCGGGATATAGGTACATCTGAACACATCTTTCCAGTACAGCTGTTGAAGACATACCTATGCAGTTACATTTATTCTGGTCACAAACTCATAATAATTCTCACTAAAAAGACCAATACCATAACTTAACTCTGTGTCGACTCTCATCAACCTATTTTTAATTTAAAGGCTCAAGCTTGTATGGGAATTGGCAGTTACAGCATCAAACCACTAACAACCCCAGTTGGTCTCCTTAGCCAGAATCATTCCACATAAAGTGAGGTGTTTGGCACAAGTCACTTTGCTGTGATTCATAGATTAACATCACGTAGCCAATGATACTCTCAAATCTCACAAAATGAGGAAGAAACAATCCCAAATTTACTTAAATGACTATAACACTATTTTTTTAGATTAGCTAAAATTATCTTGCTTCACAAATAGTAAAAGTTAAAGCCGAAATATATAGTGGAGATTTCGTCAAATAGGCTACCCCATCTCCAAGTTATTTATGGCAGTCATGCTGAATTTTCCCTCCAGCACCTCGATAGATTGGAACATATATAATTGGAACACCATTTGTAACAAGGGAAGAACGTGTGCATCATTTGAAGTGCGCTTGTGCAAGCTCCTGTATATAAACAAATCACAGGTGCCCACCTAAATATTTGTACAAAAGATAGTTTCACATTTAGAGCAGAATGCATAGGGGAGCACACCACATTGATTCCATTGACCAACATCTGGCCGACCACAGGGCTTCCAGGACCTCACACTTCTCAAGTTATGGAAATTTATTTTTGCTCTATAAAATATAAAATAATTATGTGAACTTTATAAATATGCGTGTATATCATGCACATGCAACCCATGAAACTAGTATGAACATTACATGAATATTAAACATCTGAATTTAGTTCATTGAGTCGATAAACATGGCACTTACATACCATGAATGTTTAGTGACACAAGTGTCATACAAATCCCGAATTTACTTATCGAAGTCTTGGTGGTTCTTGATTTGCTCTTGCAGACTCGACAATAATCCAGACTATTGTGTACTGCTGATGTTATGCGGTGTTGCTTTAGGGAGTGAACACTCGTCCCTTGAAGTCTGGGTAAACCCTTGGTCGCCTCAGTCCTGATTAATCGAAGTCTTGGTATACTTGTCACTGGCGACCGAGAAGTTTACGGAGGATATCGCCTTTCAACATATTTTATGTTTATATTTTGATTGTATTTATCATTTTCAATTAACAGGTTAATAAACAGCAAGCTTTTTATACAGAAAACATAAGCTCATTTTGTTAAAAGTCATGTTTATTTCAATGCCAATTGAGACAGTTGAAAACAATTGTAAAACTTTTGTTGTCCATTGGCTAGGTTGGCGACATTCTCCTCTTCTCTTGAACGTTCTTCACTAAAAGCGACCTCACAATCCAAGTAACATGTCAAACTTAATTAAAGCAACTAAACAGTACAGAAAAAAGCATTGTTTCCTCTATAAAATTCTTATACAATAAGAATGAGGATAGCCTATTTCAGTTCCGGTTCTGTTTTTGGTTTTCTATAGACCCCACAATATGTACATTCTTACCTAGCTAGATGAATTTGGGAAATTTCAAAGAAAATCTAAGGTACTCGAGATTCAGTGTTACATAAAATTATACATTTCCTAAGCAAAGCACCATTGGTCGGTTGGCGTCCACACAGGGCTGGATATGGGGAGGAGGTGATGGGGTAGGAGAGGGAGGTTGTCCTATACTGGGGTGCGGAAGGTGACAAGCTCAACATAGGAATGGGACTAGGGTAGGGTCGGAGGCGGAATACAGTCTCAGTCATGGCTGGTACTCGGATGGGCAGAGTGGCAACCCCAGCACAGAAATGGGACTTGGAGGGTATTGGGTAGGAGTGGGATACAGTCCCAGTCATGGCTAAGACTGGGGAGGTGGGATAATAGCCCGTTTGGGCTGGGACAGGTTGGTGGGGGAGGGGGGAGTGACTGCCCCTTGGGCCGGATATGCGGGGTAGGTGAGGTGACAGCAGTAAGGCCACAAACTAAGCTGGAAAAGAGATTGTTAGATAAACCAATGCTTTTTAAAGT